AACGCCCCCACGGCTGAAAGGGCGAGCATGTTTGGTGTGACGGGGATTCGAACCCACGACCCTCAGATTGCGAGTCGAGTGCCCTAACCACCTGGCCAGGCCGAACCACTTGTAGCTGTGAGTGCGCTATAAAAGTGACTGTAAAATCCATCTATTCGAACAGACAAAATAGCTTTACAGTTGGCCGAGGGTGCCGTTGACTAGCAGCCTTTCCTCTAGTCTATCAGTTTAAACTTAGGGACGACTGTTGACACATAGGCCTAGTGTAGCTAAGCGCGAAATTTCGAAAACAAATAAACAAGTAACATCTTGACACATTCGGAATACTGCCAAAAATATAGAAATAAAATAAACATACCAACAACACAACTACTATTATTTACAAAACCATCCAAAACGGCAAAAAAATCCCTCAATACTATACCTACAAGGAGCTAGTCTCCAGAGTGCCACGTCAGCAAAATTCCTGGGAATATCATACGATTCCAAACTGAACTGGAAAAAAACAACAACAGATATTACAAATAGAGCATGGAAACGTGTTAATTATGTCAAGAGTCTGTCAGGTAGAAACAAAGGCACATCATCTAAAAACATTCTCGAAATCTACACAATATATATCAGATCAGTACTGGAATATGCATGTCCGGCCTGGTACAATATATCACAAAATACAATAAATAAAATTCAAACTACCCAAAATAGAATACTAACTGCCGCATACAGAGTACCGAGAACTCATCAACCAAATTTATGAATAAATATTCTAACATGCCTTACATATCTAACAAATTCCAACATATGACAATGTAATATTTCCATAAAAATTTGTATAAAAATAACCTTTTAACAGAAATAACGAAATATCTTATACCTGTACTTATACCTGTAACAGTACCTGAGTACCTCGCCCCATGAAACAACTACATTAATTGTAATAAATCAACAACCTATAGCTACTTATAATATATCATTAGTTTAATAATTATGAGTGTATTATAAGGGTATCTATGTAAGTGCACTCCTAGTAATTTAACTGGTGAAAAGTGCGCGAGTGATTTACAGAACTGTTAGTGAGTGTGCAGCACTATCTAGTATCAGCGAAGTGTTCACTACGCACCAATGTTAACAGTGTGTTATACATGGACATGGCCAATTAAAAGGGTCGGACTAAGTGATTGTCAAGCTAGCTCCGGCCCTCTTGTAAATACACAATTAATGTTAACAGTAATTAAATAAACAACTCCACAAGGGGAAGGTCAAAAGTGAACCTAACCCTTCCCCTCCTAAAGGTTTCGACCTAAAATACTGGCACAGATTGATTGATCTTGGCACATTCTGTGGGTAGAATGGATATTCTGTTTAACTAACCAGTATTCGTCCATTGTGAAAACCTGTTAGTTCAATATTTTAGTTCGTAAATGACATAAATTTCCTATGAATACTTTAAAATAACTATCAAAATATTGTCTTGTTCAGACTGTCTCCACCTTCAACTATACAGAGACAGCAAAGAACGATGTAAGAATGCGCCGACGAAGGCCTCCTTGTCCCTGGAGAAGTTCCTAGGTTTGGAGACTGGTTTTACTCTGGACAAAGAAAGTAACACCATGGCTGTCATTTGTTCAGATATGGTTGTGGTCCTAGCCTTCGACTCTAGGGAGCTTTTAATACAGTGGCAGGTGAAAATCAGATCAAATTTAATCGAAGGTGAGTGCCGTGATATAGAAAAATGTTTGTTTGGATTAGTTGCTAAGTTGTTGAAAAACACTTTCATCATTGAAATATGTAATGCCGTTACGTTGTTCATTTCTGTATTAAACGATTTCATCAATATAATTGATAATGTTCATAAATATTTCCTCAATTAATATCTTAAAGTTACTAAGCAATCGCCAATATAAGTGATAAAGTCACTACATTATTGAACGCTGTCACCAAAATAAGCGATAAAAGTAATATATTAACAAATGCTGTCCAACAAGCGGCAAAATTACTACATTGTTAATAAACACTGTTGCTAGTAATGTTGACAAGGCTACTAAATTTTTGTTGAAGTTATTACATTGTTGGTAAATTATAGAGTTATTGCGATTTTATTAGAAAACCACTAAAATCATCGTTTTACTTCAACTTCACGTATTCTTCGATTTACTGGTCTGGATTGATAATGTTTAATAACCAGAATCGGAAAAGAATTTTCTCCAGAAATGCGCTTTTATTAAACCAGCCCTTCGATTCAGAATTGATTCTTCTGTCAGTATTTTAAAGGAAAAAAAGTCATTTAAAGTTCTTATACATTCTTATAATAATAATTGTTTGTTTGTAATTAAGCACAAAGCTACACAATGTTGTCTGCCCACCACGGGTATCGAAACCCGGATTCTAGCGTTGTACGTGGGCAAACATACCGCTGTGCTACTGGGGGCTATAATAATAATAAAGGTTGCAATAATTTAGTTAGTGCTTAACGGGTCTCGCTGAACCCCAGAATATAGAAAAAGTTGAAATTTAGCTGTGAAAAATACATAAAAACATTGTTGAAGCAATATGTTAAAATATAAAAACAATTCCACCATAGTTTGAAAACATTTTGAAGCCTACCCTGCTTTCAAGAAACCAATACGGTTGGTTTTCTTGTAACTATCTGCATAATTCACACTGGGAGTCAGAGACGTCTCAACATAAGATAAGTAAAATGAGATTTAACTAGCTTTATTGACAAGACATAAACCTTCTCTAGACACTGTAAACCTTACATGTTTTAACCGAAACTAAGAGAAGTAAACATTAAAGTTTCGATATCATGTCGTTATTATCTTACGCTTCTACCATTCAAATATTAAAGTATGTAATTGCATTTAAAGTCGTTCGTGGCACAATGAGGATGATGATTGCCATAAAACAATATGGCATGAGTTAGGCTTAGTTTTTCGTGTACTACAGCCTATTTCTTAAGATTTCTAATAAATTTAATAGTTGTGTCTGTTTGTATCACAAATGTTCAAGTTTGAAGAAACTTTTTATCTACTGGTATAGTTTAGCTTGATGCATCTGTTTGGGATTTAAATTTTAATATTCTGAATATACACATTACTATTTAGGCCATGGCAAAGCTACAAACTAGTCGTCTGGAAGTACGCTTACGTGGCTTGAATCGTTATATGTGCAGCACAATTCTCAATTTTACCTGCCGAATTCTATCGATTTTGTAATTCAGTTTTAGAGGAGCAAGTAGAAATAACTTCACCGGAAGTTCATAAATTCTCCGAAGTTAACGCCCCCGACAGGCGACCAGGAAAAAAATTCGTATGTGCGTAGTTTAGATGATTTACCTATGGCTTTGAAAATCTCAATTTTCATATCATTAAAGTTTCTAGTTAAATTGAAGATTAGCTTAAGTGGTGTTTTAATGTCGATTAAAACTGACTTATCAAACATACTGGCCCTATGTTAGAATATGTATCAGTAACTTTAAAAATTAATCTGTAGGAAATACAAACAATAATAATTTTACTGTATCGTGAAGCAACTGCTGTGAAGATATATCGATACATAGGTAACTAAGCAGAAGTGGCTGAATGTGTTTACAAACTGAAACAAAAATGGAAAGACAGAAAGAGATAAACACTTAGAGCGAACAGACAAATTGAAATAAATATCAATAAACAGGAGGATAAGACAAACATAGATTAGAAAACAGACAAATGCCTGAAGATAAACAAATAGAAAACTTTTAGAAATATTGATTGTATTAATTCTTGGAAAGATTCGATAATTTTACGAGTTTAGTGAAGATGTTCGTGTGTGTCTTTACAGAGCACAACTACCTGGTTCAGGTTTCCCACGTCCCAGCACGAAGTAAGCTTCCTTGTGGTCCAGCAAGGCTACATCTCCAGGACTACACGTTCTGCCTAACATCGGGAGTACCGCCAAAACTGTTGGGAACGTGGCCTCTGAAAGAACTTCGGAGATTCGGGGTGGTGGAAGGGAAATTCTGCTTTGAAGGAGGATCTCGCTGTGGGAAAGGTATAATAAGTCATTCAAACAAACTTTGTGAACAGTATTAATATAGGAGACGAAGGTTTCGAGTTTTGTAAACCAGTCCCTGTAATATTTTTAGCTTCACTGGGAAAAAATGTATAGAGTCGAATATTAACACATATTAACACTGTTTTGGTTTTATCTTTAACTCTCCGAAAATTCAAGGGTGCTGTCAAAAGTCTTAACTTTTAACTGTATTGAAATACGTTTTGATAAAAGAAAACATAACGCACACACATTTTCCTAAGTAATAAAAGGAAAACGGAAAAGATGCACCAATAACATCATTTTAGATTCAAAGTTCAAACTTTCTCAAACTAGTGAATATTTCCTCAAAATAATTCTTACACGCTCGTAGTCATTTTGACGACTTGAAAAGATAGGTATTTCTGTTCTGTGACATCTAATAACACACCTTACTTTTCATAACTAAAATAAAATAAAAAGCTTACCCTATTACTTGTCGTCATTGACAGGTGTTGCATTTTGACGACTTGAAAAGATAGGTGTTTCTGTTCTGTGACATCTAATAACTCACCTTACTTTTCATAACTAAAATAAAATAAAAGCTTACCCTATTACTTGTTGTCATTGACAGGTGTTGCATTTTCACTCTTGCAACAAAACTACCAACTTAAGAGAAACACACTACATGCATTAAAACTGGCCATATTTGTACGAACCAGGATGTATGATAATTGACTAACGGAAGTTGGAAAGGGTAGAACATGAAACTGTTGTTGTTTGTTCAAAAGTTACTCCAAGGTTAATCGTCCTTACGTTGAAAGTTGTAGACTAGATGGAAGGCAGCTAGTCAATACCGCCCACGGTCAACTCGTGGGCTACTCTAATCATGTATTTGGATTTGCCCATTACTCTTATCACGCACTCACGAGCCCAAAGCACGGAGCACGATTTTTTTTTAGGGGTGGGGGCATCCGCGAACCACGGAGTCTCCGATACACGGGCTGGTACGCTATCTACTGGGCCGCATGATATCGATAAACGTCAAATGTAAATAATCGATGTAACCGTAATTTTATAAGTCGTTTGAAATCATTCTTTAATTTATAAACAAAGAGTATTTACAACTTCAAGCATGTTTTAGGCTTTCTCATGCCACATTTTTCAAAGGTGTTTTCTATAAAATAACATGTTCCTTATTAGATGATGTCAGAGAAACCTTCCGCATAGGCATTCAGCTTGCAAGTATATAGAATAGAAGAATTACGTGACAGTAAGTCTGTTCCATACCGGAATAAAAAAAAAATACTGATCAGTGAAATCGTTCGACTTTACTGAAGCAAATACTACTTTAGGTGCGCAATGATCACTTTCCAAAGAGTGGATATGCATGCATGCAAAGGATTTAGTTATTTTATTGTCTACAATGATAAACACAGTAAGAAAAGTTTTAGTTTCGAGAAACTTGCTTCCCAACTTTCTAAATTTATTCATTGGTTTAGATTTTCAACACAGTTTTTCCAAAACTACTGAAATGTATACTTCCCTAATATCCTATGGGTATAAGAGGGATTATTTGTTTGTGTTTAACCTTGCTTCTTTGTAATTAAGTACAAAGCTACACAATTGGCTATCTGTGCTCTGCCCACCACGGGTATCGAAACCAGGATTCTAGCGTTGTAAGTCCGCAGACATGCTGCTGGGGGCTGTGCTTAACCTCAAAGCAACATAATAAGCTACATGCGCTGTGCTCATTACTGGTATCGAACCCCAATTTTTAGCGTATAAACCTTCAGGCTTAGCGGTTATATATTAGGGAAGTAGCGTATAAATTCATAACGGTTAACAAACAACTAAATTCAGGAATATAAATCCTCAAAACCTAACATCAGTATTCTTATTCCACCTTGTAAAAGGTCTCGTATCGCAAACAGTATGTTTTTCAGTAAATAGGGAATACACAAAAACATATATGTACGTATTTAAGGGTTGAATAGACCTGTTCTTATCCTATCTCAACTCGTTTCCTCGTGGATTATTTGTCAAAATCGCAATAGTTAGACAGATACTATTCCATAAAAAGATGTTTTCAGTATACGAAATGTACTTTGTGTGCATTGCTGGCTCTTTGTCTCTGGCTTGATCTGTCATAAAATACTCCTAAGAAATCGATGGGAATATTACTTAAGAAAACCCTTTCTTCCCAGAAAAAAAATAAACATCTACGGTGAATTTTATAGCGATCTTGTTTTAGAGTGAAATAACATCAAAAATTATCAAAGAAGAAAGAGTTGGACGAGTGGCTCTATTTATTTTAATTTTATTTTCCCCCTATATTTCATGAAAACTGTTTTATGTCCACTTGAGCCAGACATGTTTATTTAGTTGTGTTAAAATGTATTCTAATGTTTAGTATAGACAAACTTGTAAAATATTTTGCTGCACCCATTATGCAATGTATTCTTACGTATAATAAAAAGAGAATCGAAGTACAATTTGATATGCTAGCGCCCTCTAGTGCTTAATAAGATACTTATGTCTTCATTCATTATCATAACCGAAGAACAAGCATATCTATTTGTAGCTTTTCCAATCGTTTGTCTTAACGAAAATAGTTCTAAATTAGCACACAAATTCCATATGCAAACACTTGCGAATTCTGATAATAAAATGTTTATGTTTTTGCAGGAATAAAAAATATCTTAATTATAAGTTATTTTCACTTTAGAAAGCAATTTTAGGCAATTGTAATTTATCATAAGATGTAATTGGTGTTTTTTAGCGTTTTCTCTTGAATCGTTATAAGACAACAAACGTGGTTGAATTATTGAAGAACTCCGACAAAGAATGGCAGTTATGGCAGCGATTCCTGACCTTTTTTCCCCACAAGGCACAGAGCAAGTTAGAACAAAACCTCACACACACAAACACAGTGTCACACCTGAAACACGGATAAATAAAATGGCTTTCCACTGTATTATCACTTGATAATAACATTGGCATTTTTATTCTAAAGTATATTTATTGCTTGCTTTTTAAACTGCAATATACAGTTGAACTTCTAGCGGCACATCGCCACACTAGTGTACCGCAGCACGCCCTTTGAGAAACATTAAGTTATGGAAATATTTAATTTAACATTTGGCCCTGTTAATCACGAGAGTGTGAAAAACATTAATATTTTAATAATGTTGTAGCTTGAAAAAAAGGTTACAGTAATAAATATTGTAACATTTGTTCATATATGTTTACTTTCAGAAAGAAAATGAAACATTTTGTTGTTGTTTGTTATTAAGCACAAAACTACACAAAGGGCTATCTGTACTCTGCCCACCACGGGTATCGTAACGCTGTTTCTAGAGGTATAAGTCCGCAGTCATACCGCTGTACCACTGGGGAGCAAAAAAAAAAGAAAGAGAACATATAAAACTGTTCTTGTAATTTATACTGTCATTTCTAAATCATACTAATGTTTAGATCGATCAAAATAACAAAGCTTTAATTGTAATGATGAACTGACAAAATGGAAACACATTTGTAATATACCTCTTCAATATTCCTACAATATCCTTCTTACTAAATTTAAAATTGTATATGATGATTACTTGTGGACTTTATAAAAACCTCATCCATGTGGCACTGTTTCTGATAGGAGAAGGACTTCATATCTTACTGACCAATCAAGCAACAGACCTTTCCGAAGCTTTTGATCTAGCGTCGAGAGGGAAGCTTTTGAGTCGCCGGAGGCCGGCAGCGCGTGCAAATTCAGGTATCAATATTTTCGATGTTGCAAGGTGATTTTTTTTCATATTTTAATAAGTTCCTGCGCTCATTTTTAATACTATTGTAGCAGATATTTCCAGTGTTTCTGTAAAAAATCCAATCGGTGCAACTGACATTATAATTACAAAAAACGCAAGATTATTACATTACAATTATGTAAAGTTAACTATCAACGACTTTCTTATTTGTCTTCCTTCAAAGCCTTGATAGAATCTTGTGAAATGTGATTAAAAAATAATAATAGAAAATGTTCATAATATCTTAATTATTACTTGAATATTTTAGCTTTGGATGCATCGTGTCGAAGATCACTCCAACCTAAATCGACAAACCGATATTCTGAAAAATACAGCAACGAATCCAGTCGACCCCTTCTCAGCTCAGGTTCAGATGGCAGTACCTCTGATGCCTGCTCGGAAAATCTGCGTTATGGTCCTGAAATTCGAGTGCGTAATGAAAATTATCCAGCTGGACCAACATGTAAGGTCCACCATCGATGGCCATCGGGTACGTCACAGTTTACAACACCCTTGATAACCACGTCTAGTGACGTGGAAAGTGTGGAGACGATTTCAGTAACTTTGAGCGATTCTCGCGAGTCAACACCACAATTAAATCGACGACTGGAGTCTAACATGAATGTTAATATTTTAGATGAAGAAAGAGACTGGTAAGTTTCATGAAAAGCGTGGTATTTCATTCTGTATTTATCTAGAGACAAACACTGTGTGAATAACTTGAAATCTGCCTTTAATTAATATACTTAAAGCAAGCATGTTCTTGTCGCATGGAGTATAAAAAAAATCGTACATTCGTATAAGAATCGTTAATTCGTGGCAGTAGCGGGAAAGAAAAAAAATCATTATTTGCTGAAAGCGTAAGCTCTAGATTAAATTTTTCACATTCTTTTGTAACAAAAGCGTTTTATTACACAGGAACGCCAATCAGTGTGACAAGTGCGGTCGACAGTTCTGTTCGTCGGTTCGACAAGCATCCTCATCTCCAGAGACACGACGAGAGAGTGGTACTTCCACCCCACAATGGCTCCCAAACATTAAACCAGCGTCCCCGACTAAAGATGAGAAAACTGTGAGCGGTGGAAAGAGACGGCCTTCCGATAGAACATCATTGTCTTCTCAGAGCAGTCATAGCAGCAGTGCTAGTAGCAGTGGCTCTGAATATTCAATTCCCAGAAATTGTCTCGACAACCTCTACGACAGACCTCGAAGCACCCACGTTACTACAGGTCTCCCGAAATTCCTCGTCCCTAGGAGTGCTCCTATTCAGGAGGAATCACCTGGTTTATCTAATTCGGTAGGTCAAGGGGAAGATCAGTGGCCAGTTGATTTTCCTACAGGTTCTCTCAATGGAAACTCAGAAAAGGTTTGGTCCAATGAAGTTATTCCTCACGTGCACAAAAGAAGTGCCTTTTGCATGTGCACCGTTCGTCAATTAAACGATTCAGGCAAAGCTAAAGGCTCGCCTAAACATGACACCAGAAATGTAACTGCGCTTGATGTATTTAGTTCATCCCAAAAAATAGCCATATCGTATGAACCTACAGACAGAGCTCGAAAACAACAGGGTCAAAAAAATACAGTGTATCCATATGCACACTATGCTGTCCCAAGAACTACTCTTGTTGAAAGTCTGAAGGTAAGCCGTACTGGGTTTGTGAACTGTATAAGGATAAACTGTTATACAAAAATAAACAAACACGAATGAAAGAAATATTAATAACTCAACCTTCCACAGATGCAAAGCTACGAGCACTAATAATAAAAACAAAAAATCACAGTCTTCCGATTTGTTAATCACGAATATCAAAAACACATCCTAACCTCACCAGCACAAAGTGTGCTAATAAACACTAATACATCAGGATCATAGATACATCGGTAGACAGAGAGTACGTAGTTCATACAAATTAGAGTAACTTGACTTTTTTTGATAGACTGTTTAGGCAGAGTGTTTGTGATGAGTACAATGGAATGGGCGGCAACTGCCTGTTGTAGAGAAAACACGAGTGTAAAGAACGAGGTTTCGAAATGTCGTCCTTTACATTTGTGTTTTTTTTCTACAACAGGCAGTTGCCACACCTTTCAGTGTACTCAACTTGACTTTTGTTTATTACTATTAGTTAGATCAGAAAGGTTGAACAAAACCATATTAGCTGATTGATATTTTGCCTTCATATTCCTATTACAATAGGAGTTTGTGAATTCCAGAAAACATAAAATTGTAACTATTTTCTAACTTACGTTTATGAACCAGGTTTCTGGAATATTTTGATGTTCCAAAACTATAAACTCAAAAAGAGTGTAACACACAATTCCTTACATGATTATAATTATTCAGATAGAATTCATACCCCAAACCAGTTGACATTCTAGCCGTTTGGTTTACGTGATTTTTAGAACATTTTCGGTCATGCTTAAGTACGTATGTGAAATGGACTTTTTCAGGTACTAGAACTGAATCTGAACTTTTTAAAGGAAACATGTAAATTGCACTTTCTCAAGTTTTCAATCATCTATAGTTGTTTTTTTTTATCAACCTTTATTTAATATTATGCTACTGAATAAATATATATAAATTTAAGCGCATTTTATATGGATGATTTGTATATGTTAATCCAGTGACATGTTGCCGCAGAGGCGCTACGATCGACAAGTTTAACACCATTCTCCACCACTCAACCATATAATTCCATCATAAATAGACTTGTGATTGAGTGAACATGTCACTGCGCACTGTAAACGATGTAAAGCCTAAATACATGACATTTTCAAGAAGAGGGTTTTAAGTGATCTCCTAGGATATAGAAAAAATCGTAGATCGAAGCGCATTAAGGAGAGAAAACTCCGAAACTACACCCTCCCCTAAAATTGTTTCAATAAAGATTAACCCTCCGACCAAAAAGAAAAAGGTAATAAACAAAGATTTTAGGTTGAAGAAAGCTCACAATATTCCATCAACACCTCGAAATCAACAGATGTTGCATGCAAAAGATAGACAAAGAGACTGAAATCACCAAACTGCCATTCAAACACATACCTGTTAGGTACCCTGATGCATCTCTTTGATTTGCATAAACATGGTCTTCGAAACCGACATTCCATAGAGTGACGACTCCGTAGAATGTTTGTCAAGATGTGTGATCTAAGATTGACTTCTCCTCCTTTATAAAAGTTTGCCACAATGGGTTCGGACAGTACTACGTGATTATGGCCATCATAAAATGTACTATCAACGATGGGGTAAGTAGTTGCAAGGGCAGCGGGGACTTGGATCTTTGTTCTTGTAAACTGCAAAAAAATTTAGTGGTGGCTATAGTTTGATACCTTAGGTAAATATAGTTAGCTATAACGTTTAAACCACGTAAATTTTTATAGCGCTGTTTTAAAAACAACACATTTTTGTGTTACCTAACAACCATATTAACTACAAAGCCACTTGCAGTATTTGTATTGCTTTCACTTTTCTAGACCCCCCTCTCCCATTGGTCATCAGTAAGTTTACCAACTTACAACCTTAAAATCCAGAGTTCGATTCCCCATGGTGGACAGAGTACAAAGAGCCAATTGTGTAGCTTTTCATTAAGAAGCACAACAACGTGATTCTACTACTGTAATGTCTAAAATAACTGATTAATTGGCTTGAAATAGGTCATTTATTGGTTGGTTTGTCTTGCTGATTTGAGATTACTTTCATATTCAAACTTTCTTTAAAACTATATTCATGGCTACTTGAGTCGTGGGAGTATATTGTGCAACTTATCAAGAAAATAACTCGTATATTACCATGATTACGGTACAGCCTTCTGTGGAATATGGGCCTCAAACTTTTTTGTCTAAGGTTTTATTATAATAGTTGTGCAAGTTTCTGAATGGGTCCCAAAAGTCGTTTATCCTTCCCAAAGCACACATTTTGACTGCCTTGCACGCCTGTTGTGGAAGCTTATGTTTAGAATCATTCATTGAGAACACCCCTAACTGTATTTATTACCAGTATGTTGACTTGTTCGTTTTTATCGGGAAACTAGTTTAAATCAGTCATTGTAAAAACATATATTGTAAATACAAAAACTCAGATATTTACAATACACATCATTTCTCTGCATTATTTGGAGAAAATATCACTTTTGGGGCACAAAAGTCTATGCTTTAAGAAGTATGGTAACAACTCATCAACTGGTGTAGTTTATCTCTGTTTCTTTGATGTCTTACTTTAGCTGTTTTTCTAACCTGTATTTATTACAAACTGGGTGTTGTTTTTAGAATTTTTCCACGTTTAACACGTGCTAGGTATGAAATTTATGTTTTCCAGTAAATTTATATAAAACAAAATGATAACTTGTTCTCATGTTAGTATTGAATCTATATGCAGGCTATTTAGATTTAACTTAATATAAGCTAAAACTAAGGTTTAGCCCAACTTTGGAAATATAGTTTTTTATTATTGTCTGATTCTAATATCTAATAGTATCTGTCAACCTGTAACAGCCGTAGAAAAAATCTAAATGAGCAAAATGTTAAGACCTTGTGACCGAAAGTAAACTATTTAGATCAGAACTAAAAAATACGAAGCTGATTTTTATAACTAACTGACTAGAAGTACAAAATATCGTAAATCAATACACAACAGAGGTACAACCTATAATGATTAGAATGTACTGATTCATCCATTTGGTGATATCACTATTAACAATATTTTCAACCGTAAACCCTATAATATTTCCGTGCCAGTTTGGGATATGTAGGTTAGTTTTAAATCCATATGCTAAGTTCGCAATATAAAAATAATGCTAAGTATAAAAACATCGTGAAAATTATTTCAGCATTATAAACAGCAATATTAATGAAACTATAAAAAAACTAAGAGGTTCATGACAACACAGTACTCTTGTTCGTAAAACAGCTTACCATTACATGAAATATAAAATATCAACATTAATGAAACAACTGCCCCCCCCCCGAGTGGCACAGCGGTATGTCTGCGGACTTACAATGCTAGAAACCGGGTTTCGATACCCGTGGTGTTTTGATGATTAACAAGTGTCCCAGAGTGTTTAAAGACATCAAGCTTTAGTAATGGTAATATAATAAATTGTATCTCAGTGTATTCATATGTCCCCAATTTTTATTGTAGATAATATGATAGGATGTGTTAAATTGTGCTTAACGTTTTCCATCACAAGTAAAGATAATATGTTAGGTTGTGTTATAGAATGTTAATTGTCCTCAAGCTTCTTTATAGATAATATTGTATAAGTTATAACTCAGTGTATTTAATGCCTGGTCAGGTTCTAATATGTTATGTTTGAATGGGTTTAATATTCTTAGTGTCAACTAAACACAATGTGATAGGTTGTGGTACACTGTGTGTAATGTCCTCGTTGTATTTAAATGTGTTTAATATTCTTAGCGTCAACTATACATGATATGTTAGCTTGTCTTCCAGTGTATTGTGTGTTCCAGTTTATATGATGTCTCTAAGCTCTAGACAGCGATTAGCCATACAAATAAACTATAATTCCAGAACTTTAACATCGAATATTCGGAAAGGAAAAAATAATCGTAAAACATTAATTAGCAAGTTTCAACCTGAATTAAGTAAAAACTAGCCAAACAAGTTCTAAATTTATAATGTTTAAATTGAAGATGGAAATTTTCCTTAGGCTGATATTAGGTTGCTTAAGAGGTATATTGTGCGAGTTACAAAGCTATTTTCGTTCAGTTAGTGATTCTCTTTCTCGTTTTCGTTTTTGTACGAAATATTTGCCACGTCCAGACTTTGTGGAAAAAAAAAAGGCAAATATTTCGTACAAAAACGAAAACGAGAAAGAAAATCACTAACTGAACGAAAATAGCTTTGTAACTCGCACAATATACCTCTTAAGCAACCTAATATCATAATTATAATACTAAGGTTCTTCATAAATTAGAATATTTGGTTAGAAAACATTATTCAGTCACATTTGACAACACTATATTACGCTCCATCCAGTAGAAGGATTATTGTGATGGTATTGAGGAAACCAATGTAACAAATCTATCCTAATTTACCACGATAATGTATTTACATTTATTTAACTTTTTCATTTTAACAGTTGTGTACTAACATGACTCGCACATCAACGGAAGCCACCTGGCGAACGTAATTCTAAATTCTAATTTATCTTCATTCCAAAATAATTACCAAATGTTACTCACATTCTTGCGATTGTGCTAAAACTTCTTCATGTCAAAATTAAACTTTTATTGAATATCAAAATAACAAAAGTTTCATATGGGTCTTGTTTATAGGCGTAAAGATAAAACATATATGCAGCTACAATAGGAATTTTACATCTTTCAAAACTACCTCATAATGTGTGACACTATACACAAATAACCAATTAATTTTCAGTCCAACTCTTTTAATATGCAATAAAGTGTACTGTTCTTCACTAAATTCTATAATCCCACTTAGTTATATTATTCTTAAAACTCGTTGTAGAAAATCAAATCTTTGTCTACGGAACTTTTTTAAGGAATGAGTAAACTTATCGATTGGAGATGTATCTTTACCAAAACTGTTATATCCTAGTGGCAAGTAGAAAATTCTAATAATAAACAAATAAATATTTTCTAAAAAAATTCACACTTAAGTTT